AAAGAAAGAAAGGAAAGAAGGAAAAGAAGGAAAAGAAAGAAAGAAAGAGAAAGAAAGAAAAGAAGGAAAAGAAAGAAAGGAAAGAAGGAAAAGAAAGAAAGAGAAAGGAAGAAAGAGAAAGAAAGAAAGAAAGAAAAGAAAGAAAGGAAAGAAGGAAAAGAAGGAAAAGAAAGAAAGACGGGGGAGCAAACAGATTAGATAGAGGATGGGCACAGGAAAATTATTTTTTTAACAAAGCAGTACTTTTCACTGCCTAGGCAAATGACTTTTGTGAAAATACTTTTATGAAAAGCAATACACTGTTTTGACTTTACTTAGCACTATCATTAGGTTTGGACACAAAGAGAAGTTCACAATAAAATAAAAACATGATCAAAGATTATATACAATTTTATGATGCTTGAGACTCATATCTTGATTCCCCATTCCAGATGCTGCAGATGCTGAGGAAGGAAAGAACATGATGAAGAGAAAAATAATTAAATATCACTGAGCGAAATAATTAAGACTATTACAAAAAATATAAACAAATTTATAATGTATTACAATACAAATAAACAGTATTTTTAGCATAAAAACTGCATTTGCACAAAGCTATTTAGTAACAAATACATGAAACTACGTCAGAAACATGTGAAAATGATCTGAGTCACACATATACAGGGGCGCAGTTCCCATGAAACTTGACCGAGAAGAAGCCATCTGAAGGCCATGTCCTGGTCTGAAACCACCAAAGGCCTTCTAACTAAATCTCCTGGTTCAGAAAAGCCGCTCAAAAAGCTGCCCCATCAAGGTTCATCATTTGGTTTTTCAAGAGAAACTGATCTTCTGAAGAGGATCAAAACGTAGGACTAAGATAAAGATACTGAACAAGAAGGAACTTTTCTGTTGGCACAAAAGATTCACATGAATACTTTTCAAAATGTTGTATTTGATGGGATGGGTCCGTTATACATTTATAATACTGGTAGAAATAACACTTCAATACTGAGCTGGACAGAGATAAGTTGATACACATTAGCAAAAGCACCAATCTTTCCCTTCTTTCTCTCACTTCATGCCAATTGAACATTTTATACTGAAATCTTAGGTGGACCCTATTGTTTCTATCCTTTTTTTTTTGGACTCTTTAATGTTTGCCATCCTGGAAAGCAGCATACAGGCTCCACTCTTAAAGACTTGGTTGTAAAAGTTATAAAGGCTAAGTGCTCAGCTAGAAGATGTTTTTATCATCCTTCCCCAAAGGTGTTACAGGATGCCGGTTCTGCAGGCTTACATACCCTCAAATCACGTAGCAATGCCGTAGTTATCAACAAGGATTTTGGCCATAAAAAAAAAGTCAAAATTTGGCCTTCTCCCCTGTCAAAAGCCAACCTGGCTAACACTTGTTTATTTTGTATTACAGTCGTTATTTTTGATTTCTTTTTGTAGTTAAAGAAGCCTGTGGCTAACAGGGCTCACACACCAGAAGAGGTTTTAAGTACGCACCCATGAGGTTCAGGGACCTGTGAAGTGAATGAGTCCTGCCTGTCACCCCATTCTGTGCTTAGACTTCAAAGAGAAAGAAAGAAGTGGGATTGCCTATCTGTAGCTCCAATAGGAGATCTCTAAGCAAGTTGGGGTGGTAGAGCAGATCTAGCAAGAGATGAATGATAAACGAAACTAAAAAAAACGTAGCTAGAAGTTTCAGACTTTATCCCTCTCATCAGAGAAACTACTCACATATAACGCACTGCACCTCCATTCTCAAATCTACAGTCACTTTTAATTTTCCTAATTTCGATTTACAGAAAATACTATTCTGTAATTAGATAACTGATGTTGCAACATAGGAAGCATGATTATTTTTTATTTTTTAAATCAAAATCATGTTTCCACACATTTGACCTTCTGGATTAAACAGATTATCTCCAGAAAAAATCCATAAAAGCCTACGGAAATGTTAATCTAATTTCAAATTATTTTAGATTGACTTTTCCCCCCTTAGTTTTATATTCAGTAAATACTGAAAACCTATAAAGGCCTCAAGTGGAAAGAAATTAAATTAGATGTGTACTTATCAGGCCATTTAGTAAAAACAGGATGTTAAAAAAAAAAAAATGGTTCCTATAGCCACAGAGGCTTCAACTCTCAATGAATCTTCTTCTCCAAACTGGTTTCCCCTCTTCCTCCAATTTTTTTTAAGTATTGTTGAGAAAGAACATACATTTCTCTTGTTATATAATTAGGTATTATTTGGGGTCCAATTGGAAATTGGCCTTACATTTATAAAAAGCGAAAGTGGACTTTATTTCTTCATTCCTTCCCTTCTGGTCAAACACTCCACTTAAAAAAAAAAAAAAAAAAAAAAGTTTTAATAGGAGGAGTGTAAAAGGGGGGGAGGTATTATACAGGAAAGCCAAACTATGGAACCTTTCTTATTCCATACCTCTGAACTTAAACTTACTGATCTTTGAAAATTTTGTTTCAGCTGATTATAAGAGAAAGAAATCCAGTGACAGAAGGGCAGGCCCTGCTCAGCAATGATCCAGAAAAGCTTCCTAGGATAAGGGAGAGGGAGCTGCCATCATCAGAACCATGGTGCTTGGGCTGAGGATGTGTTAGAAGACGTACATGGCAGGAGGGGCAGGAAATGAGCCAAAGTCAAGGTTTTCCCAGTCTGTCAGTTCTGTGATGGCCTCAAACTCAAGGTGCTGTTGCCGTCTGAAGAGAAAGACTATTGGCGACTCCTCATGAACCTCACAGTACAGGGGGGATGAGACTGTCAGGTAACTGAGTTGGAAAGATGAGAAATAACCATCTCTAAATATTGGATTCTGTCAGAATAAAAACTCCCTTTGTGTGAGGCTTGCAACAGGCCCATCCAACCACTCAAGGGTAGAGGATCTCAGCACCTCCCCCTCCTCCAAAGAGACTGTGTTCAAAGTTAATACAAGGTAAGGGTTATCAAAACAGCCAGACAGGAGTATATTGCATATTTCTTTATAAAGATGACAGAAACTTTTCGAATTTCATAAACGTGTATTACTTGTTTTTCTGTCAGGACCCAAAGGGTGTAGGATCAACTTCAGACATCTTTCATAAGCTTGGAATCTAATTTTATGAATTTATTGGAAGACATAAATCAGGTAAGGCAGAAGTGGATGGATGGATTCTTTAAAAGAAATTGGGCCCCCTGGGTACTTTTAGTAGATTGAGTATTGAGAGATTTACAGGGATAAAATTCTTTACAAGATTAAGGAAGAAGGAAAGGAAACCAAATCTTTCATTTCCAGATATTCACTTTCATTAATTCTTTCACCAAAAGCACATCACTGAAAGAAAACCAGAAATGGTTTTGCACTTAATATTAAAGTGGTTCAAGAGCCAGAGAACCCCTTGAGATGGAAGCAAAACAACAAAGTATTCAAGTTTTCTTCACAAGACAACCTTGCACTGGCAACACTTAGGGCACTTCTGGCTTCAAAAAGAATATTGCTAAAGGAACCTTTTGGAAAAAAAAAAAATGACTACATTTTGGCAAACAACAACAACAAAAACCTCTCCTGTAAAATCCCTACTTCCTTTTGAATCTCCAAAGGTTACAACATTTCATTCAAGATGCTTGGCAGTCACAGCTCCGTGAGCTTTGGTTCTGGATTATGTAAACCCCTCAGTCAGAACGAAGGCGGCTGATGTGAAGCGGCCGCTGTCGGAGGCCTCTCACTGAGAAAGTATTGTGAAGAGTGTGGGGCGCCTGCAGGCCCGTGGTGGGAAAGCTGGAAATACTAAAGGTAAGAAATAAATCCTAACAAAGGAGATTTAGAGAGTTGGGATGACGTCCAAGCTCTTTTCTACCACAATAACCAGGGCCCTCTCAATTTCTCTCTCTGAAAAAGTGTCTCTGTACCGTAATGGCTGATGTCTCTTACAGTTTGACAAAAACAAATACTTAACACAAGAAGACTTCTGCAAGACCTCCCATGCACTGTGCGGATGTTGTCGTGTGGCTTGGCTTGTGTTGTATGGCGCCTGCGGGGTGCTTTCTCCGGTCAAAACTCTAGCCTCAAGCCAGTGAATGTGTGCCCATGCCAAGTCCCCAAACGGATCCTAACACCCTGTTTGTTTTTCTGTTTCCTGATTGTCGTGTCTGAAACACTCTCATTAACATACATGAGGCTTCATGCCAGAGACTACAGGACTAGAGATCGTTTTTTAAGAAAAGCTTGCTCATTCAGAAAAAAATGAGGATTTGATTTACACTGCAGACCAGAAGGAAGCTGACTACTCCTTTGGCCTGAATTCTCGGAAATACTGTCATTAGACCTGTGGGCCCTTATCGGCGTGCTGACTTCTGCGCTGCCTCAGTGTGTCTTCTGCCGCCTCTGAGTGCGCTGGGCTGGGCTGCGCAGGCACGTCTTCTCCAGGCTCGGCTCCTCCCCGCTCCTGGACCTCTCTCAGGGGCCCTTGGTCCTGGGCGTCACTCCTCTCCTCGTCCACACGAGCAGCCGGGCTGTCTTCCTCCTCATCCTCCTCTGCTTCATCCTCATCGCCAAGGTCTTCTTTCTCTTCTTCCTCATCTACAAGGCTGTCCTTGTTTTCTTCTTCATTTGAATCGTCTTTTTCCTCCTCTGCATCCTGTGGCTGTTCAGCTTTGTGGGCCTCCTCTGACCTCCGAGTCTGCTCTGTGGAGGGAACAGAAGGGAATGGCCTCTCAATAAACTGATCAGTCAGCAGGCAGTCGAGTGTGTCTAGCCGTGAAATGAAGGGGAGGGGGGCGGGGGGAACGTGACAGTTTTCTCCAATCTGAAGCTATGTTATCACACAGCCCCTAGCTCCATCGGGGGCTTCCCTGTTCCTCTCGGGCGATTTCACTGACCCTGCAGACTTTGGGAGAGCACAGGGCCAGGGAGGGCAAAGGTTCTTTCATGCTTTATATTTGGTACCTTACAGAACACTCAGCGACCCACTCACTCACTGGTCAGGTGATGGGTTGAGAAATGTGACTTACGCCAAGCCAATCACAGGACTTCCCAGGAGCTTTTGGCCAGAGTGAAGAGGAAAAGCCTTCTCTCTTTCTACAGGAATTGTTCAACTGATAATATGTGAGTTGGGGCTGTTGACAGCCCCCGAATCAGCCACAGAGAAGCAGAAACCTAAAATCCCTTGGGCTGTGCTTGAAGCCAGAATATCCCTGGGTCTTACAGTTATGTGAGTTAATTTAAATTTTCCTTTTTTTCCTAAGTTACTTTAAACTGGGTTTCTGTGATTTTTAAGAATTCTAAGGAACATAATATATTTTCTAATTATCTAAGGAAGTCTCCAAGCCTTGAAAACTTCAAGAACTCGAAAGAAATAGAAGTTTACTTAAACTCCCACATAAAATGCAACAATTTTAAAGTCTCATAAAAGTCTTCATGCAAAGTCTCAAAACTAGGAATAAAAGCATGCAAATCCAGGGCTGTTGAACCCCACAAATGGTGTGGGACAGTGCAAGGATTTGGGGAGACTGTTCTTACAGGCCTTAGGATAGTTAATGATACATAGTTGAGACTCAATAAATATGAGTTGCCCTCCTTCATTCCAGTTTGAATGAAAGAAAAGGTATCAACTAACTGATGAAGGGCATACACTTAAAGGGAAAAAATATTGCCAAAATGAAGTATTCCCTAATTTAAGGGGAAAAAAAGAATTTTTGTTCAAATCTGATCTAGAGAACATATTTCATAGAATTTGGTAAGTGGTGATGGTTTGGCCACCTAGTGAATTGGGGGGGAAGAATCTAGTATCTTCTTTGAGCACAAAAGGGCACACCACAGAATTCCAAAAATACTCTATCACATGACTTTATCATACTTACCGGTACGTTCAGATAAATGCCTTGGAAGTGGTATATAGAAACATTCTGATATTACCACCAGGACCTGGAGAGAAAAAAGTGATTTTACTGTGACTAGATATGACATTTATTACCAAAGAACCTCAAATGTAGGCCTTGGTTCTATAACCAGATATTCACAGACAATTAATTAGCAGTTGGTCAAAAGTCCTCAAAAAAGACATGGATACAATTAAGATCTCCTATTTTTCAAATGTAACAATGTAGGAAAAAATTACAAATACTTAACAGGAGTCAGGGGTCACAAAGTCAAATGTCTATGGAGACACATTAAAAATAGGTAAATCAAGCAGGTATAAGAAAATAGATACTCTGAGCCAAGTCTACAATGGCCTTTTTAAAAACACTCCTCTGGCCAAACAAAATTAGTCTGCATATGGCTGCCTCTCACCGATGGGTAACCAATGACTGAGTAAAAGACGATGTCAGGGTCTAGACTTCTTAAGAGTAACATAAGAACTTTCTACAGAAATAAATTGTGAGAAAAGTCATTAATGATATGAACTAAACCCTATTTTAGACGGTAATTGCCTTGGCTTCATCTCCAACCTTACTGCAGCATGAACCACTTTCTATTTACCCTATAAACACCCCTCTCCCTTCATAAACTACAAGCTCCTTAGGGGCAGGTTCGTCCCAGTCCCTGTTCCACGCCCAGACTGGCACGGACCATGAAGCTACAGGTTGTGTCATAAAGGGCACAGTTCACTGACCGGGAATAAGCTGCAGTCATTCTGCACACGTTCCCCTACAGCACCCCACAATGCAAACGTCCACCCGGGGAGAAGCTGCCCGCTTAGAAGGGCAATCCACTTCTTGTACCCAGCTAACTCTCGGACTTTGCCTTTACTTTGAATAATTGCCCAGGCTTTAAAATAGTAATACTACCGGGGCGCCTGGGTGGCTCAGTCGTTAAGCGTCTGCCTTCAGCTCAGGCCATGATCCCAGGGTCCCGGGATCGAGCCCCGCATCGGGCTCCCTGCTCAGCGGAGACCCTACTTCTCCCTCTCCCACTCCCCCTGCTTGTGTTCCCTCTCTTGCTATCTCTTTCTGTATCAAATAAATAAATAAAATCTTTAAAAATAAATAAATAAAAATAAAATAGTAATACTACTTCATACATTAGTGTTTTAAAGGTGCTCTAAAATTTTAAAGAACCTAAAGAAGTCATGGTACTTTTGATTCAATTTCATAAACATCAAATGAGTACCCTACTTTGTGTTCAGAATTATTACCAATCTGTATATTCATTTATTACTTTACTCAAAATTTGGTTCATTAGGTTCAAGGTATCATGTTAACCTCTGCGGGGAGGAGTTCAAAAAAAGGGAAAAAATGGCAGTTTAATTATAAAGCAATATGGAACATGAATTCCATAAGAAAAATGAATAAAGCACTTTGACAGATATTTATGAGATAACAAATATGACAACCAGTTATAGGTTTGGGAAGGATCAAGAATGGCCACTTGAAGCAGCATTTACCCATCCACTTGGCATAGTCCTGAGTGGATGGGTAGCACCAGCTGCCTGGCTCCTCTAAGCTACACCAAACTGGACCATGGGGGCTCCTGGATCCAGAGAAAGCCCTGAATGCCAGGCTGGGGAGACCCCTGTGGTAGGGCATGGGATGCACGAAGCTCTGAGGGTTGGAGAGGAACAAGCTCCAATCCACTAAATTGATTTGAACAGTAAAGAGGAAAACATTTCCATCTGAAAAGACTGAGGTTGAAAAATTTCATTTTCATGTGATAGTCCCTAGGGAAGATGGCAGAAGAGTAGGGGACCTGTGTTTCATCTGGTCCCTTGAATTCAGCTAGGTTATCTATCAACTCATTTTGAACACCTGTGAATTCAACATGAGATCTCAGAAAGGAATTGCTGCAACTCTATAAATAGAGAAGTGACCACTTTTTTGCAAGGTAAGAGGTGCAGAGAAGTGAATCTGAGGGGATGTATCAGAAAATAAATCACAAGGGGTGGCAGCCTCCATAAGCCGGCTACCAGAAAGTAATATAGCAGCGAAGCACAAAATCAGAACTTTTAGAAGTCTGCTCCTCTAAGGGATGTCCCTCTCTGAAAGATGCTCAGGTAGTGAAGCAGGGCAGAATCCTAGGTGGGACAGTGTGATCTCAGGATCCCCGGGGTGACCGAAAGAACAGGGTTGCCTGAGTGCAGCAGAGTTCCCAGGCATGGGAAGGCAGCTACAATTAGCGAGCCCAGGAATGGCCTCTCAGCTAGGTGTTGCCGTACATCACAAACTGCAGCACGATCGGGGCAACTGCTCACCAAGCAGGGGCCCAGCAAGCGACAACCGCTGCAAGATCTGGCTCCTTCCCCAGGGAGGAGCGGAGTGGTTGCGTACCATTGGGCAAACGCTCCAGAGCAGGGGCCCGGAGAGTGGTGGGGCCTCCAGGAGACACTCCTCCACAGCTGGGAGGACTGGTGCAGGTGTGCACGGCAGGAGTCTGCGGGGTTTGGCGCACACAAAAGGGACTGACTACCTTTCCCTGAGGGTGCGCTGGAGAGAGGGAGCCGTGATCGTTCAGCTCCGGGGCTGGAGATCAGGGCTCTGCTGCCATTTTTTACTTTTGTTTCATCCCTTAAAGTGGTGCGAAAAGGCTTCAGGGAACAAAAGTCACATGGAGCAATGCAAAGCAGCTTCCAATGAGCCGGGCCAGGAGTGGTGCAACTCCACAAAGGTAAAGACACCTGAGTATCGGTGCAACAGGGCCCTCCCCCAGAAGCCCAGCAGGATCCTCCAGCGAATACCAAGTGTATAGATCACTCAGAACTGAAAAACTCCTGCGCTGGGGGAAAATAGTATATAGAATTAGAGGTTGAGCCCTTTGTTTACAGGTGAAAAATAACGTTTACTAACGTAATTCGGTCATCACAAGGCTCAATCAAGAAAACAAACAAAAATCTAAACTAGCAGCCTTGTTTTGACTTACCATCTTTTAAAATTAGGAAAAAGTAGGAAACATAATCATTAGGCTTATGGAGAACAGTAATTTGACCAGGAAATCACTTCAAAGGAAAATATCGTGTTCCTCCTGGCCACTGTATAAGTTGAATCTTATATATGTATGAATCTAGAAAGATTCATAGAGGGAAGAACTTACAGGGACACAGGACTGCAGGCCTGGGCTCTGCTTTCAGCCCTCAGTTAATGGCAAAGGTACCACAGAACATGGAATGCACAGCTGCAGACCTCCTTGAAGGCAAAAATTCTAGCTGTTGTGTACTTTTTTTTTTTAAATACATATTATGGTTGTAGAAAAGGAATCAGAGATATGTGTTTGGTATTTATGGAAATGTATTACCAGAAAATGTATTATTCTTTTGTTAAATAAAGTTCTCCTCCCAACTTCTTATAAAGGAATAATATTCTACATCATTTAATCACTTGAACAATCTAGAATCCACTCTCTTCTTCCTTCAGTCCAAACCTTAATAATCTTCCTGGACCAATTATTTGAATCTAAGTTTCCAAATGAACTTAGGGCATAGGCAGGCCTGGCCTGATTTTTTGAACTTAACATTAACATCAAAGATAAAATTCAGAAACTCTTTATGCTGAGTAGAGTTTCCAGTGGTCTTTCAACAGGCTCACACTCAACCTACATTCTCCATAACTCCACTTGAGAACCACCCAGGATCTCATGGTATTCCCCCTACAAAAGCCTCACACTCATGTGGCTCTAAAATATACCACTAGAAAGATCAACACCAGACAGTAGATGGGAAAAGCATACTTATATCCAGTCAAATTTATACCCAGGTCAAATCTTTTAGGCCAGACCATCAGGGCCATGTTGGTTAGCAATAAGATTAAGGCGACCTAATGAATGACATATCTGAGTTCCAGCCCCATCTGTGGAATTAACACCAGTGGTCAGATCTCAAATACAAGCCATAGCATGAAGTAAGCATGTTTGCAGCAAAATAAAATCAAGCCCCCTTGGCTTCCTGGAGTATGGCTTTGTCATAACAAGTTATTTATCAATATATATAAAAGCAATTGCTAACATTTTAAGCTTATTTTTAGTATATGTGCTGCTGAAGCGAGCACTTAAGCTTATTTTTAAAAAGGACTTACTAAAGAGCTGAAATGCATTATACAATATAAGGACAGATTTTAAGATAATCTAACCTCAACATCTGTCCTTTTTATATAAATTTTTAGTAATCATCAATTATTCCTATCATACAGTGTTTAGAAGCTTTGTGATTAATACACAGCACAATGGCTTTTAAGAACCTAATTAGAGTTTAAAGCTTAATCAAATTGATCAAGTGTGAGTATAAAAAGAAAGATTTAAAAATTATGTAAAAGAGTAAAACATTGCCAAAACACTTATAGTTGCTTATGTAGTTAAGTAAATGAATTTATTATTTCAATTCTTACCTAAAACATCTAGGGAGAAAACACACAGATACCTACTAGGTACTAATTTTCATACCTAAAGAAGACATAGTAATGTGCTTTGCATCTTATTTTTTTTCCCATAATAATGACTGTGTTTTTTTATCTACAATATCTCACAAAATCCACCTTGGGATAACCAGAGTGTATGCATAGGCAGCAGGTCAGAATTAGAGGTTCAGTTGGAGGATGTGAACAAGAAAAAATCTTGTTCACTCAAGGAACAAATTCACAGGTTTGGCCTTATCACCACAGTGTTCCAATCAAGTAGGCAATGTGTGAAATCACAGCTGACTTGGTTGTCTTAGAAACTGACTATGAATTCATGTAAGGTCTCCAATTCTTTCATTACTACCTATATTCTAGGTAGCACACATCTTCAGAATATTTAAGGTTAGGATTAGGAGATAATAATTTAATGAACTTTCCATTATATCTCAAATTACCACTGAAAGTAGTATCAAAAAAGTAACTGCTTAGATTATACACAAAACGATACTTGTTTATGCATCTTTTCTTTCTTGGCTGCTTTCTAGTTTTGCATAAAACCCATGCGGCTTTAAAGAAAGGGGGGAAATGGCATTATCTCTTACCAGACCCATGAAAAGGCCAAAAATCAAGGTGGCCATGACGAAAAAGACATAAGAACACCAAGCAGGAATTCCAAGGGTCACTGTGAAATAGTTGTGAAGATGCTGTAATCAGAAGAAAAAAAATAAAATAATTACTTATTACCAAACATGTTTGAATCTCCCTCTCTAGCTAGAACTCAAGTCTGCAAACTGTTTCTACGTGTATGAGTTCCCACAAAGTTCACCCAATCTGCATTTATGTGATTCTTCAAGGACAAGTCAAATTTTACAACACTGAAAATCAGAGAGTAATAATTAAGGTCATATCTAGTGAGAGTTATATTTCTTTGTTCATGATCTGGTAGAACTCTGGCAGAACTGTTTTTCTAGCCCCTTCTTTCATCATGACAGACTCTTTTGGGTCATTCTCCCCTATAATTCCACACACCTCAATTTTTACTCATCATGTGGCATCTATAAAAAATTAAACTTCTTGGGCCTTTGTCAATTTTTTTTTTTAAAGATTTTATTTATTTATTTGACAGAGACAGAGAGAGCAGGAACACAAGCAGGGGGAGTGGGAGAGGGAGAAGCAGGCTTCCCGCTGAGCAGGGAGCCCAATGTGGGACTCGATCCCAGGACTCTGGGATCATGACCTGAGCCGAAGGCAGCTGCTTAACGACTGAGCCACCCAGGCGCCCCAGGCCTTTGTCAATTTTTAAGTGGAACTAAATTACTACTTATAGACATCAATCATTAAAAATGTCCCATACTGGGGTGCCTGGGTGACTCGGTTAAGCGTCCGACTCTTGATTTTTGGCTTAGGTCACAATCTCAGGATTGTGAGACGGAGCCCTGTTCCAGGCTCTGTGCTAGGCATGGAGCCTGCTTATGATTCTCTCTCCCTCTGCCCCCCTTCACCCCCACTCCTTCTCTCTTTGAATGAATGAAGTAATTAATTAAAATAAAATGTCCCCATATTTCCTTTTCCTAATCAGACCATTACTCTACTCTACCCATCCTCAATAACTTGCCTAAATCACCATAAAACTGAAAATATAATATTAGACAGAAGAAAGTTTTTCTAGGTAATTCATTATGAATAAATGAGATTCCATCAGTCTTTGAGTAGAGCCCTCATCCCTTCATGCTTACTGTTCCCTGGGACTAGCTTTGATATCAAACATTTAAAAAATGAGTGAAGAGATAACCATTTTTGCTAAAAATTGTTTACATGCTAAGTCATACAGGTATGAACCTACCAGTCTGGAGTCAAGGCCCACTTAAATGTGGACATGCAGCAGCCAAGCTTCACCATGATGGCTTAGTGATCATCTGTGTTAGGCCCTTACAGCTCCAAAACCAGTCATTCACTATAATCCAAGCATTTATGGGCACACGATGAAATCATTCCAAGCTAAGTGCCACCAGCAAGCAGAGATAACAACTGAATGACTTGCCTAGAACTGATGAGGTGGATGAAAATGACTCCTAGTTTCTATTTTAATATTTCTCAAAATCCAAATTACTCTAGTATCTCCCATTGGTTTCTCAGTTTATAAATGTCAATTCAATTAAATACTATCTTTTATTCTGGCTTAATTCTGAATGATAAACCAACAAATAAAAAAGCTTGTTAATGGTCTAGAATAATCTGAGATCTCCTCTCTCCAATTTCTTATTCAGTAGAAGAGATAGATCCAAAGACTCAGCAAATATTTTACATACTTATATATGCAAAGTGTTCGATAAATATTTATTGAATTAAAAAAAGATACTAGCATATCCTTCAATTATTCATAGGAGATGCAAACAACTCGTGATTTGTAAAACTATCATCCATCCTCTGTTATGGCATTGGTCATCATTTTATCTTTAGCCGGGGCAATTATTTATTAAGAGTAATCTAGTGTTCTGCAGCCCAGTAGGCAAAGAGGTATTTGGGATATCAACAGGTTGCTTCATTCAAAGTCTATTCAATGTAAGTTCTAAAATGTATCATACAGTTCTCCACTTCAGAAAACTCTATGTATTCATAGTTTATGCTTTACTTGATGACTCAGTGCCACCATCAGGATTAAACTCTGAAATGTGCCAAAGAATTAGAAGATATGCAAAGCCAGTCTGGCTTTGTGTCGACCCAGAGAGGAGTGTATTCTGGAACTTGTTTTATAAATAATATCCATCCATATGGCTGGAATGAATAATGTCCAGTTATAAGTCCTTCTGCATAGTGTCTTACACCCTTTCTGCAAAATAAATGATTAAAGTAACCCTTAAGAAATTTTCTAAGTTATTTTCTGGAATTCAATAAGTTATATGACTTCGAATCATTGCATTCTGGGTCATACACTTCTTAGTGCATTCAAAATATCCTCTTATTGTAGCAAGCTCCGCTTCAGTTTTCTCTATCAACTTACTATTTATTTATTTATTTAATTAATTAATTTATTTTCCAATAAATGTTAGCTGTTATTATCAATACTAATTTAATAATAAAGCATTTATTATTCATACATGATGAAGAGTACAGTTTGGTTTTTTTTTGGAAACCCTAACACATATGCATTTATTTATTTTTTTTCAGCTTACTCTTTAAAGGATTTATTTGAGCCTCTTAGAGAAACCCTGCCATCTTGTGGTCTTTTAGTTGATTAATACTAAAGCCTTATTAACCAAGTTGTGTTTTCACAACTGCAGACATAAATCTTTGTTTACTTTGAGTTCACAATGGTTTTAGAACACCTTAAGAGCGTTAGGGTTTGTGCCATTAGGTACTTGAAGTCTTGCTGTATGTATGCTTTCAAGTAATAACTGATTCAAACTGATCTAACTCAGTTTTAGATTCCTGTGTTTCTGTTTCTTTAACTGTCAGGCAAAGTGACAGTTTTTACTTGTGGAAAATACTGATCCTTGTTCAATATTATATGTGCATCTTATAATCAATATTATAAGGAAGCATCTTACTCTGTTTCCTAAAAATGCACAAAAATATCACCTAATGGGCCTGACAACTTCTACAGTACTATTGTAATAGATAATGGAGTTAGAGCTAGTTTTTGGCTACATACAGATTTGAGTGAGAGACTAAATGAAGACACCACTACAGTAGAATAAATGAGAAGAACATTCTACCCAGTGGTCAGATGGATTTAAGGAATGGAGCAAGGCCAAAGCATCCCTGGATAAGGTAGAGCCTTTTCTCTACAGAAAGAAAGAAAAGTACTCCCTCTGGGGACTGAACTACTGCAGGTCAGATTCAATGCTGCCCCAGGGCACCCACTTAGCGAGCCCAGTGCTGCATAGTCTCAGTCAGAGCTGGGTAGGCCCTGAATGACAGAGAACCCTTTGGATTTAGATCCCACCAATGTCACAGGATATACTCTGAGGAGTTTTGGGACAAACCCAATATCCCTTTCAAACACAGACCAGAATCCTCAAAACATCTTCCCTGTGTAGGAGCAGCTCAGAAAGACTTTCTCTAGTAATGGCCAAGGGTTCAGTTCACCTTCAATGTTTTACCCTTTCAACACTTGCAACAAAACACAACCTTGCAGCCTCTTGTAGGCATTAAGAGAGGTATTTTGTGGGTGTACACCATCTCACTGTAATATGGTTCTAGATCATTTTACAAGGAAAAAAAAAACTCAAAACAGTAAGAGGAGACATACCACTATCTAAAACACAGGGCGACGTTTGGGGAGTTTTAAAATATATTCTTGTTAAGTGTTGGTGTAGATGTGGAGGAAAAGAACCCTCATGCACTGCTGGTGGGAATGCAAACTGGTGCAGTCAGTGTGAAAAACACTATGGAGGGTCCTCAAAAAGTTAAAAATGGAATTACCATGTGATCCAGTAATTTCACTATGGGGTATTTACCCAAAGAATATGAAAACACTAATTGGAAAAGATATATACACCCTATGTTTATTGCAGCATTATTGACAATAGCCAAATTATGGAAGAAACCTAAGTGCTCATCGACAGATGAACGGATAAAGAAGATGTGGTATATATGCACAATGGAATATTACTCAGCCATAAAAAATGAAATCTTGCTATTTGCAACAAGGTGAATGGATCTAGAGTGTATAGTGCTAGGTGAAATAAGATAATCAAAGACAAATATCATATGATTTCACTCATGAAGAATTTAAGAAACAAAACAACCAGGAAAAAAGAGACAAACCAAAAAATAGACTCTTAACTGTAGAGAATAATGGTTAACAGAGCAGAGTTGGGTGAGGGGATGGGTGAAATAGGTGAGGGGGATTAAGAGAACACTTGTCATAATGAGTACTCAGTAATGTATAGAATTGTTGGGTCACTATATTGTACACTCAAACTGGAATTAAAATTTTTAAAAAAGTATTCCCACTTTGAAAAAAACACTCTCTTGTTATTCTCCAGTCTAAACACTCATGGCCTTAAATTCTCATTGTGAGGTATTTATAAAGCCTTAAATCTTCTCCATCATACAGACTGTCCTCCCAAGGATGCAGCCTACCTTATTGCCTGCATCCTTGCATAACGACAGTGTCACTGAGGTAAGGGAAGTTACATACAGTATTAGCTCAGTGAGCAGTACAAATTCACCAAATCAAATCAAATAACATTGAAATGCATTCAGATGCTAAACCTAGTTAGCAAAAATACTCATTGTACAACTGCCATAGAACCTTATTTTAATCCTGCTATCAGCCTGGATTAAAAAAATAACTGAATAAAAAGAGAAAGCATTCCTTATTGACTAGTGAGAGGTAAAAAGTAAATAATGATGACAACAATGATCAATGAATACAACTAACAAGAAACAGCTGGCGAGTACTGACTAGGTGCCAGGTTCTACGTACGCTAAGCACTCAAAGTGTTCTAGTGACAACAGTTTATGGCAGGGGAAACTCATGGGCTCAGAGATACACACACAGGGTAGAGAACAATGAGTTGTCTCTCTGGAAGAGAGAAAGATAATACCTCCCTACACCACTGTCGTCAACTGTGAAAAGAGATGAGAAGACAGGAAGGCTGGAAAGTCTCTCCATACATGGGCCACAGACAACATGTCAGCCCCAGGATCCCGAACCCTGACTGTGGCACCTGACTCAGGGACAGCACTTCCCAAGTTCAATCTCCTGTGCATTGCTTCCATGGCATGAACCTCACCTTGTACTATTCTTTAGATTATTAACATTTCTCATTAAGTTGCATAAGTTCTTTTAAGCTGAATTTCAAAGACATTTTATATTGCTACTATAAATATAAAATCAGTGCCAATTCCATAGCTAGAAGATGTCTATCCACTCTTTGAGGAACTCCTTGAGTTGTACATCTTCCAGGCGCCCGTGACTCTTATGGGGTAGGCAAATGTCAAGGCTATATATGAGGATGGGTGTTATAGCTAGAGTGGCAATGACTTCTATGAGTTTATATAAAAATTAAAATACATCGGTGGATACCATCATGACTGGATTGAAAAGACAATCTGAATTTTAGTGATGGATAGAACATTTGAGATTATCCACCCTTCCCCCATACTGTGGTACAAATTACCTACTAAGGATCCCTTGGATTCCAGGTGACAGCAGGAAGCTCACAGGATCTGGCTTATAACACTATTCAAGGAACTTCTTCACCTCAAGGATTTAGTCAAGCAAGAACATATGGGAGGTTGGTGTAGAGTTAAGAAAGCCAAATGCAGAACACAACAAAACCCCTGAGTTCATGGGAGCTCAGCTGTGTGGGTGTCTCCTCACCGAGCAATTCTGACATCCTGAGGACAAGCTCTTATTTCCAGAATGCCAGATCCAGCAAGCTGCCTTCATTCCTAAAGCAGAAACTCAAAGACTTTAAGGACTAGTTCAGTAGGCGTATCTTATAGATACTGTTCTTGTTTTTACTTTATCTTTTTCATTACAGAAAAAAAAATTAATACAGAGAAAGATAAGAGATTTTCTAAAAATCAGCCATAATTTCAGTATCAGAGATAGCTATTGCTGACATCTGATTAATCTCCTTCCAGGCATTTTCTGGTATACACATAAAAACTCCACACGAACATAACATTACACACACTGTTTTGTTATCTTTTCCCTCACTTAATAACATGTAGTTTTTCCTATAGAAGTATTACACCTAACCAGCCACTCATCCAGGGGAGACTGTTGATGAAGAAACACTGACTTCTATCTGTCTATGTATCCACGACATCACAGTAGGATAAAAGAGATTGTGGATGGACGTCAATAACCTCACCTCACTGACATTACCCACTCTGTGTCTTTCCTCCTTCCCTTGTTTGATCTTTCTTGGAGACCTTACACTCACTTAGTTCTAGCCATGTTCTTTCCCTCTCTCTCTCTCTCACCACACACTATGTTCCTTTTGTTCACTGTTAATATGGTTGCACTATAGTTTTATATTGTTTAGACATGAGTTATAAACAGATTATGTTCCCCACAATTATACATTCAACATTGAGGAAAGGATCCTGGACATGGGAGAAGGGCTGGCTAAATAAGCTGAGTGAGCTGGGTAGTCAGCTAGGAGGACTTGCTCATTAAGTGGTTCTTCAGGTGCAGCCAGGCAAGACTGCACCTCAAAGTTGAAGTGGAAACCTGACAGATAGCCAAGGATTGGGTCTCACCAAGCTGGAAATTATGTCCTCTGTAAGAGGACAAGGGCTAGATTATAGAAACAGGTTGTGAGAGCCCTTCCCAGAGATTTCATGGAAGGCTGAAAACTTGTTTCTAAGAAAAGAAGAAACTACAAAAGTTGTCAAGAGGCTTGGGGAAGCTAGATGCTGATACAGAGGGTGATACCAGATTTCTCTCACAGATTTTTAAAGTAATGAATACACACACATGGAGAGATCAAAATAATCTACAAACCTCCCACTTATGTTCTTTTAGTCATATTACCCCCTGCCTACACACATACGCACACACACACACACACACACAGTAAGCGCAAATACATTAGTGATGCCAATAAATATAAATGGACTAAATTTATCATTTAAAAGAATTACTTGTTGCTATATGCTTTTTACAAGACTCATTTAAAACATAACAACAAGAAAAAGGCTAAAAGTGGAAAAACATTCCAGGCAAAATTGACCAAAAAGAAAAAAAATATGGTATTAATATTAGATAAAAGTGACTCTGCAGAATGTAAAATGTAATTGTGTGTCAAATTTAATAATTTATCCTATAAAACTATCTTCTTTTGTTTCCTGTTTAGATATCTGGAAAGACATTCTAAGTATACATAATATATAAATATCATATATACTCTACTTTTCAGTCACTAAGAAGAACATTTTCATTGGGGTATCTGGGTGGCTCAGTTGGTTAAACACCTGCCTTTGGCTCAGGTCATGATCCCAGGGTCCTGGGATCAAAGCCTGAGTCTTGTTCCTGCTCAGTGGGGAGTCTGCTTCTCCCTTCTCCCTCTGTCTCTCCCCCCATTCATGCTCTCTCTCTCTCACTCTCTCTCAAATAAATAAATAAAATCTTAAAAAAAAAAGGCAGAACATCTTCATTGGTTATTCAGAAATGGATCATATTCTATTCTCCAAGTTGCCCTTTCTTTGTAGTCTGATGCATACACACAGATTTGTTCATGCTGCCTATGGCTGGAGCACTGTGTGTATAAAGATAAAACACCCACTCCTGGCCTTGACATGACAATGCCACACATTGTAATTATTTGCATGATAAAATGAAAAACTGTAACTCCTTATCTAAACTCTTGTTTATCGAAGCACAAAATGCCAAGTTATATGAAGTCAAAGCAATTATTTTTCTCCCCAGATACTATATTTGAAAATACACCTCTTTAACAATGCGTGAAAGTCATGACCACCTTCCATCTAAGCTCTTCTTAAACCACTAAACCAATTCATCTCTTGATTTGCACTTATTGTAGGTTCTATGCCAAGATCTTGCTCTTACGATTCCTGACATCCATCTATTATGACTATCCTGTCGAATTAGACATTATAAGGCTACAAGGTTCTCTGATGGCTATCAGAATATATGACTCTGTCAACCCTTAGTGTCAACATACTGCAAAAGGCAAAATCCTTACTCTCAATTCCCAATTGGCAATTCACGATTCTCAAACCCTCAATAAACTTCTCATCAGTGTTAAGAAATAAAACTCATACGATCTGGAGAGAGGGAAAATCCCAGTTATTGTTTAATATCATACACAAGTGCCAAAAAAACAGTTAACAAACTTTAAGAAGTACTGAATCCAAGTGACAAACAGTTTCTGTTGTTAAAGAAATTCTGAAGTTAGTATTCCACCTCACAAGGCAGAAAATAAAATATAACTGAAAAACTAGGACACAAAAGATTGTTCTTAAATTTCCCTAAACATATATCAATGTGCATGAGAAACAGAAGAAGACTCTTCATGAACTCCTTGAATATTAAGTTCCAAATATGACATCATGACGTAAAATCATAGCCTTGAAAAGAAAAATGTAAGGACTCACTTCTAAAGATTTTTTGAAATACTTTAAGGATATATATTTAATTCCACAGCAAGTTTGTTAAATTTGGCAGAATTTAGCCCACCCTACACATAAAGGGAAGTAAAAGATTATGTAACACATTCAAGATTATATAACTGTTCAACATTTTAACCTAAGTAACAGTTCTAACTCACTGAAATGACTCAGTGGAATGATAAAATTGCTTATAGTAGGGGCGCTCAAACTTTCTTAAAGGGCCAGAGAATAAATATCTTAGGCTTGTGGGCCACATGGTCTCAGTCACAGCTTCTCAAGTCTACCACTGTAGCATGAAAGCAGTTCTAGATAACAGGTAATGAATGAACATGGTTGTGTTCCAATAAAACTTTACTTATAAAAACAGGTGGCCTGCCCCCACGCTATAGTTTGCGGATCCCTGACACACAGTATCACTTTCAGGCTTAGATAATCTTTGACCTATAGGGAGATTCTGACAATGGGAAAATAAGATGAAGTAAAACCACATAAGCCCTTTCAGCTTTAATAAAGGAATCCATCACTGATCCAAGAAAATATGACTGACACAGTAGTTACAGGTCTTTGTTCAATTTATGCCCTTCTACACAGGGACACAATTCTACTGGGGACCCCACATGAGAGCAGTTGTGTGGCTTAGGAAGAAAAGTGACATTATAAAAGTATTTGTAAGTGTTTACTTTCCTATTGTTTAGAAGCTACATTTTTACTCTTTAAAAACCTCTCTGCAAAGATAATCACAAAAAGTATATTTAAGATTACTCACCCATATCTTGCCAGAGATGCTAAAAAGACCAGCCATTCCAGACATCCTAAAAGAAAAATGAATAATTGAAGAGAAGGAGAACCACTGGTGATGTATACTATGAAAAAACAAGGGGGGCCTGGGCGGCTCAGCTGGATAAGCATCTGGCTCTTGATCTCAGCTCAGGTCTCGATCTCATAGCTGTGAGCTCAAGCTCTGTGTTGGGCTCCATGCTGGGCGTGAAGCCTACTTTAAAACAAAACAAAACAAAACAAAAAACCTCAGGTCACAGGGATCTGCCCTTCCACTTTTTGCAATATGTTGTCCTCTCTCCTGGATTCACTTCCATTCACATAAAGCTTAGATTCCATAGTCTTCATTTCAATTCTTCTGTTATAAACACATTCAAACCCTGGGCCTCTCTCCCTCCATTGTACATACCTGGAAAAACCTCTACCCTGGGTAGGTGCATGTCTCCAGGGAAAACCACATGACCAGCTGATTGCTCTCCCTTCCCAGTCACAAACCTCAGGGAGCACTCAATACTGTTTTAGGCTCTACCCAAGATGATAGCTCACGTCTTTTCCCTCTCTTCAGACCTTCCACACCCTCCCCTTCCCATGCATGCTCAGCTAACAAATACTCCTTGTACGTCACTGCAAAATCAGAAGCCATTATGTGATCTCTCTTATCTTGCCACCACCACATCTGAGCCTGCTGTACACCTGATCCACCTCCTCCTGTTATGACAGAGAGAGTAGATCTGCCCTACCATAGCCTAATTCCTCCACTTGTGCCATGGATCCCAAACCTTTGGTCTTGTTAATGACTTGGTTCTTTCTGCCATCCCTCTTCCTGCATTAGCAATTTCTCCCTTTCTGTGGGATCATTTTCTTCTGCATGAAAACATGTTCTACCCTCTCTTATCTTTTAAAAAGTGCATTCTTGGACTTCACAGGGCTCTCCAGCTTCACAAACTTCTCCAAAGAGTAGTCTATGCTTACTATTTCTTCTTCCTCACCATACCTTGAACCATTCAAATCTGGCCTCTGTCCTCACTACTGTACTAGCACTATTTGTGATAAGGCCATGATGACCTTGCATTGCTTCATCCAACATCCATGTCTCAGACTCAATCTTCCTTCACCCCTTGGTAACATGGGACACAAGGGACTACTTCCCTTTCTTGAGTACCCTTTGCTTAGCTTCCAGGAAATTGCATACCCCTGATGGTCCTCCTGCCTCACTGGTACCCATTTTCAGTTTCCTTTTGTTGAGTCCTTCCCTACCCATCTTCTAAATTTTGGGGTGTCTCTTGTCTCAGTCCCAAACACTTTCCTCTTTTTCCCTCTCTCTAGGTGATTCCTTCCCTTCTAAGGTTTAAATACCATCTACGTGCTTTGTATTTGTGTTCCTGAATTCTCCATGGAGACCCACCTCCATATATCCAACCTGACAGCTCTAAAAGGAAGTCTGCATCTCAAACTCACCATGTCCAACACTGAGCCCTTGCTTTTGCATTGTTCAAATCTGTAACTGACACCAAGACCCACCAAGTACTTAAAACAGAAACCCAGGAGATTTTCTGTGAATCTTCCCTGTCCTGCATGTGAGCCAAATCGACCTTCAAAGCATATTTCAAATTCTCTCAATGCCCACTTCTGCCACCCTGTTAGGCACTACCACCACCCTTAGGCTGGACACTGCAACAGACTGCTGTCTCACCTCATCCATTTGTGCCCTCTCCAACCTCTCCTCCTAAGAGCATCGTCTTTTTTTTTTTTTTTTAAAGATTTTATTTATTTATTTGACAGAGAGATAGAGACAGAGTACAAGTAGGCAGAGAGGCAGGCAGAGGGAGAGGGAGAAGCAGGCTCTCCGCTGAGCAGGGAGCCTGATGTGGGGCTCGATCCCAGGATTCTGGGATCATGACCTGAGCTGAAGGCAGCCGCTTAACCGACTGAGCCACCCAGGTGCCCTAAGAGCCATCTTCTAATTGTACGCACTGATATATCCAAGTTCCAAACCGAGGCTGCAGACCTGTATGATCTGGCTGCTCCCTGCCTCTCTTTCTTAGTGTATACCGCTCCCCCTCCCTTTCTCTGTGCTCAACCTTGGCCATCTTTCTGCTCCTCAGTACCATGAGCTCTTTCCAGATGGTGGGCTATGGTCGTGCTGTACCCATTGTTGGGAATACTCTCTCCAGGCTCTTTACCCAGCTAGGTCATTCTATCCTTCAGCTCTCTCTACTGCTCCACCTCTCATCCGATGGAGGCCCATGCCCCCCCAGTTAGTCCTGTCTTAGTAAAGATTTGTTTGTTTTTAAAGGTAGCTATCCAGATTAAGATTCTTTATATCCCTAGTTTGTTTTTTTTTTCTTAATCTGTCTTACTTTAAGTTACCTAAAGACAGCAGCTCTGCCTTGCTCACTGTTTAATATCTAGCACCTAGAACAGCATCTGGCATAAAATCAGTGCTCAAATATTTGTAGAATGAAACGCCAGAGGTGAGGGGCTTTTATTTTTTTAAGATTTTATTTATTTGAGAGAGAGCACAAGTGGGGTGAGGGGCAGAGGGAGAAGCCGACTCCCTGCTGAGCATGGAGCCCAATGCGGGGTTCGATCCAGGACTCTGAGATCATGACATGAGCCGAAGGCAGAAGTTTAACCGACTGAGCCACCCAGGCACCCCAGTGAACTGCTTTTAGAGTAAGCTCTGTATTTCCTAGGTAGTATATAAATGCTACTGGATGATTTATTCCTGAAATATTGCATAATTTGATTCTATTTCAACAGGGATATTCCTTATTCTTATATATACTAACAAAAATTTAACTACAATTATGACAATTCATTCAAAATTAAAACAACTGTGGAAAAAGTTAGTATGGTTTGGCCTTAATTTACTTCACCAAGAATTATACAGTTTGACATTATGGACAAAAGTTACCCCCATCTGTGTTCCACTAGGCAGCTAAAGACACCATAGGTTTTATTTTCCACATAGATACAATAGCAATTCCTTCATAAACTATAATTCAAGAAAGCGTTAACTCTTCTATCTTATCAATAATTTAAACAGAAGAAAGAACAGTAAATGATATTCAATATCATATTTTGTAAAGAGAAAATAGTTGATATGGCTCAGTGCAACAGTCAGAGGAAAGGCTTTTGTAACCCACGTGAATGTGCAATACTTAATTCCCAGTATGCTAACAACTGGTTGAAACATGTGGGTCATAAAACTAGAAACACAACATTAGCTAAGTATGGTCATGTGTAGTCAGGGTAATCAGAACTGAATATGAAGAAAAATGTAGACTTGCAGGGTTTATGGGCTGTTTAACTTAATATCTCCTGCTTTATAAATAACACCTTGATATAAGAAAAATAACAAGTTACGTCAGAGAAGCTGGGGATTTCCAGCCAGTCAGAGGCTCCACTGATTGCCATTTTTTCTCTAAGATATAATTCTGCAGGTCTTCATAGACTCCTGGGCCACGGTAACGGCGGAATATCCCATCCTTTGCACTATAAATTAGAAAAACAAACAGAAAATAAATCTATTAAAATAACAAGTGTTACAGATAATAAAAATCAAAATAAATACTAGTTTTACATTTGAACTCCACTTTGAATTTTAACTTGACTCAAATGAAGAAAAAAATTATAGTTAGGCATAAATATTAATTACAGATGAGAAATTCCAAAACAGCAAGCATTACACATTCTATTTTATCGCTGCACAATTTGGGACCATAAGCAAAGTTCTTGGCAGTGTCCAATCTACCAAGTTATTTTTATCATTTTTGCTACCAATTATTTCAATTTTTTCTCTTACAATGGCAAAACAGGAATTGTTATCAAGCTTTAAAAACTTGTATCCAGCTTTCCAAACTTATGTCATTCAACCCCTGCCCCCCCGCAAAAAAAAATTAACAAACACAGGCCCCTCAGTCTTTCTCTGACTTTCTTGCCACAGTCCCCTTCCTGAGGGAAGAGTCTGCACTGGCCATTTTCTCCCCATGTATTACTCATTCAGCACTCATGTGATTGGTGGTTCTGCTTCCACAACTCCATAGAAATTGCTCCTATTGTGGGTCTCCAGTGACTCTTCAATGCCATATGCATAGAGCACTTTTCTGTCATTTTTCCCTGTCTGTTATCGGCACTGTCCACTACTGACCATCCCTTCCTTCCTCCTTTCCATTGGCTTTTATGACATGAGCTTCCTTGGCTTTTTTTTAACTACTCTGACCACCCCTGTTCAGTTCCTCACTCCCTGTTCTCCCTTGCAGATGTCCTAATGTTGGTCAACCCCAGGTTCTATCCTTGACCTCCTTCTCGTCCCATTGTGTATGTTCTCCCTAGACACATTGCAATGTTTGTCTACCTCAATGCTGAGGAATCTCCAATACATGTCTCCAGTCTAGATCTTTCTTCTGAGCTTTAGATCCTGAAATCAAACTATTACCTAAACTTCTCCATTTGGAATTAACAGGCATTTCACACTGTCTTCTCCATTCTGGCCTCTATCTTCCAAACTTCATCTTATTCTAATGGCTCCTCAAAAGCTTTTATGAGTTCTACATGGCCCATTGGTAGTCATCACAGGCTCTTCCTTCCTTATCACTAACTAGTCACCATGTCCCAATGATCCCACCTCCTAAGCATCTTCCCCTTTCCTTTCCCCTATCACTACCTGAGCCTCTCTAGCCTTATCACACAAGATGATCCAACTGCACCCTATGGGTCAGAACCAGTTACAGTCCTCAGAAGGTATCTGATTTTCTCCCAGGCTTTCCATGATATCTCCTGTATCTGGAAAGGCCTTCTCCACCCTGTCTGCTTAACCCAATTCCTACCTTTCATATTATCGGAGAAATCTTCTTTGACACCACCCGCCCCCTCCTACTCACTGTCTGACATTAGGTGCCTTTCCCCTGCTGTAGTCTGAGCACCCCTCTCTTCTACCAGCTATCATTCAATGCACACCAGTCTTTCTTCAAACGTTAAGCTGAATAAGCAATGGTTATGGAAAACAACTTAGAATTCCTGATACACATGTACTGCTTTTGAATCTTTTCTAATGTTTCTAAGTTCTAATCAGAAAATTATTTAAACTTACTGAAAAAATGCTGGGAGAGTAGTGACAAAGAAGCGGCCACTCAAACCTATAAGAGGCATAAACAAAAAAGTTACAAGTCAAACTCAAACTACCCCAAGCACCTGACTTATGTTGTAAGAACTAGCAGCCTTGAGCTTGTTTTCATAGCCACATTATTAAAATTGTTCCAATTATTTAATCACATTTACCTTTTTTCTTTTTACTTAAAGAAATCATATTTTTATCCATTTTTATTTACCTACCACTTTCTGGTCAGTGACATACAATTTGCTTATCTTTGATGTATTACACTAAAGTTTTCTGGCTTATGCATTGCTTGGAATAGTATGGTGGCTGAAAGGACAGGTTGTAGAGTCATGCAACCTGGGTTAAATAGTAAATTCTCCAGCTACTAGCTTTGTGACCTTAAATAAATTACTTAACCTTTCTGTAAAATGGGTATATTAAAGCCTGACTGAATTGTTCTGAAGTGAGATTAGATTGGTGTATTAAGTGCTTAGCACATACTAAGGACTCAGTAAATTATAGATATCATTATATGTTGTAGGTTTAAAAAGAATAAAGAATATGAAATAAGATCATGTATAATCTTTTCACATTTATAAAATTTGTAATTTCTGTCAAGGAAGTCTATGTACTTTAAACAGATTTTTTTTTTCAATTTGTCTCAGCAAACATTTACTGAACAATAACCACATATCAAGTGCTATGCTAGGTACATGTGAAGATAAAGATGAATAAAACCCTTAGTCATTCATCAAATATTTACTAAGCAACTTCTTTGTTCCAGGGACTGTGATAATGGCTCAAGACACATAGATGAGTAAAAACACACAGTCTTTGTTTTCACAGAAGTTACAATCTAGTGGCAGAGGGAGAGAATTTAATCAAATAATCATGACCAGAAACAGAGATGGATGACATCAAGGAAAACGGCATGCAACAAAAACCTGCATGACGCTAGAAGTAAAGAACAGATCCCTGCTCTTTATTATTAACTAAATAATATATATGTGGGCACCAAGAGTGAGTAAAGCCAGTTCTGGCAAAGAGAAGGAAAGCTAAAGGATCCTCCTGGCCTGCATGATATCATTTTCACATTTCTCATCATTTCTGCCTTTCCCACTGAAGAACAATCTGGACAAAATCAAATCCCTAGTTAAATAAAGTGGCTCAAATTTTACATCTCTGTGATGACTTGCAGTTTGAAATACTGAAGGTGTATTTTTAATAACAAGGGATATTTGCTTCTACTCATTTTATAAACTAAATCCATACTCAGCAAAATAATTTATTGACTGATGATGATGAGTCTTCCCAAAGAAGACTCATATCCAAGCAAGTAACTCTAAAACACCCATATGGCACTTAAAAGCAAACACAGTATTCTGAAGGCAGTAAAAGTCAATGTTACAAAAAGAAACATAAACTTCATACATTTATGATTGTACATTTTTTTAAAGGTTGTACTGGCAGGAACAGAAACAAAAGTGACCTGAGAAGTCAGCTGAGGATTGGAATAAGCATCTCTGTCTACAGGACATTCTAACCTCTAACAGGCTTGGAACTCCACTCTACCAAGGAACAGAGACATATTTTAGTAGAGTTCCAGGTCTAAACAGCCAAGGGAAAAAGTACTGGTAATCTTAAAGGCTTGAAAATTATTATATGTTTTGCTTATTACAAAGTTTCATATCTCACTTCTTTCCTAGCTACAGATTTTTATGACTACCCCAAATCTTATATAAGGACAGTCACAGTGTTAGGGAATTATGCTTTATTTACATGGTCTTTTAAAATGGAATGCACAGGGGTGCCTGGGTGGCACAGTCAGTTAAGCATCTGACTCTTGGTTTTGGCTTAGGTTGTGATCTCAGGGTTGTGAGATTGAGCCCCATGTCTGGCTATGCACTCAGTGTGGACTCTGCTGGATTTTCTCCCTCTCCCTTTGCCCCTTTCCCCAGTCAAGCTCTCAAATAAATAAATAAATAAAATATTTTTTAAAAAATTAAAAATCCTTCGTATGTTCTCGGTCATCACTGGCCATGACAACAGATTAAAAAGTAAATAAATATAAAAAATATTTCATAAAACATATGAACTTACACAGTATATATAACAATATTTCCAGATTCACAGGCCAGCTTCCCTGAAGTCAAACCCCACTTCTGCATCTTATTAGTTTTTAATCTCGGACAGTAAATTTAAACCATCGGTTTTCTCATAAATGGGCATCATAATATCTATCTCAGTATTTTTCAGTATTAAGTGATTTTATATTTATGAAGCACATAGAATATAGTATTTGACATAGAATAAGTACTAAATACATGCTAGCAAATATGTTCTATATTTAAATCTCTGATTCAAAGTTAGAATAAAGTAAGACGCAATAAACTAATTTAGTGTTAAGTGCTTTGGAAATCATACATTATTTTGGATAATGTATCTTTACAAATAAATGTGCCCATGAAAAAAAATGAATACAGAGGAAATAAGGAAAACAACACAGTGATAGATGAGTTTCTGAGAGTTTTCTTTACCTTTCTGGTTCAGACTAAAAGGACGCTCATCCCCAAAACTGTTAAGAATAAAGGGTATGAGAACTTTATGGCTCTTGATATGAATTGTTGTGCTTTTTTCCATAACTATTGTACCAATTTACAAGACCACCAATTAAAGTTCATTTAAAATAAAGATTAATAAATTGTAACACCTCAAAACTGCTGTCATTTATGTTTGTCAGTATTTCTTCAAATGACAACCCATGCAGGATACTAATAATAAGATCACAGCATCTAACACAGATATGAGTTCAGTTCGATGTCTGGAATAATACACTGTCACTGACAATGTCTTCAGGACAATTAACAACAAAATCAAGAACAACCAAAGTAGCCCTTAGATCATGACACACGACTAAGTCCTTGAAGATATGACACCATAGGAAACTTACCTCAAATAAATGTCATTTCTGAGAGGCTAACAAATGTCAGAAAGCTTTGGGTTTCATGTCATTGCTCCAAAAATGTCTTCTAACCTTTAATACTGATGCTATCAAATATCAAGGGAGCCTCTCATTACCTGAAAAGTTAAAACATGACCAACTTGGAACAGATAAGCTTCATCTGAGGTTGTGGGCTTCAAGGTCTAAAAACAAGGCAAGCATGATCTTAAAGGATTACAACAGCAGGGCAGCAACTCATTACAAAGGTTGGCATCATGATTCACTGCAAGAAACCTCAGAAAGTGTAGAAGAAACAAGTGCACTCTTAAACTTTAACTGAAAGAGATAAAGTTTGACCACAAGGTCTCCCCACATTTCTGCATGTCTTTTTTACTTTATGGGGAACTTTACTTTAAAATGAAGACTGAAACATAAAAAGGGCAAAATGCAGGACAAAATTTAATTTCTTATTATTAAGCTTATCTTAAACATGTATATCAAAAGAAAGAAAAGAATTAAAAGATTAGAGAAAGAAAAATTATACCAGGGAACTATATTTTGATATGCAAAAACACAATAGAAATGATTTAAGTTCAATACTTAAAAAATGGGGATAGCTGTTAGCTTTGGTTCTACCATTATTAGTTGTGTTACTTTGGGCATGTTACTTAACCTCTCTGAGCCTCAGTTTTCTGAGTAATATAGAGATAAACAGTTCTTCCTAAGGTTGAATGAAGCTAAAATGTATGTAAGTGCCTAACACAACTATAGGCTGAAGTAAATGCTTAACTAAATGTTAGTTATTATCACCAAAACAGTAGCAGAAGGAAAGCAATGAAAAAAAAAAAAAAAGTAGAACTAACCTTACCTTTGAAACTGAAATAAAGTTGTCAGTATAATACAAAAGACTAATTTTTACAATTATATAATTAAAATATGAACACTAACTGAAGCACAGTAAACTAAGTTGGCTTTTGCAACTAATTAGTGGTTTAAACACAATGCTTATTCTTGACTGTGGTAGGAGTCTGGTTTACCTCTAGTCTAGTGAACTAGCCATCACCCATGGGTACTCTATGAGCAGCTGATGTTTTCTTGTCCTTGACAACTAAGCTCATCTGCATGGAACAGAAGGTTCAAGTGCATGCTCATTACATTTAATTTCCCAAAGAACATGCAACTGATACATCACATGGTCTATGCAGTATTAAGCAGGCAATGCCATGTAATAGAATCTAAGGCCTTTCCTTTCCTTGACTTCTACATCTCAGCTGTAAAATACAATGTATAATCCCTAATCTTTATAATTCTGAAAACTTATTTTCTGTTCAAAATACCTAAGAAAACCTCTTGTGGAAGAGTTACAGGCATAACGAAAGATTATGCAGAAGCACTTCAAAAACTCTTGCTTTCACTTCTTTTTTAAATTTTACTTGCAGGGAAAAGAAATGAAATTATGCCTCATTAGCACTCCTGGCAAGGCAGCCCTAATGAAAGAATATATGAATGGAGATCTGTAACCAAATATAAATCTGTACACAGAAATATCCAGTATCCAGTAAAATACTCAATTTGAGGAAAAGTAGTATTATTTCAATTATTTCCCACTGCTCATTCAGGCTGTTAGATTTTGTAAAAGTGCAGTAAATACCTAAAGAGATTTCAAGAATAGAGACAAGCCACCCCGGAGGATTGCCAGGGAGTTAGTACCATATTATTCATTTGGCTTCCAGGACCCCTAGCCCTCCACCTCCTTCCTACCTCACCTGCTTCTCTCTTCCCTCTGTTGGAACGGAATCTTTCCCTCGGAATGTTAGAGTGCTCTGGTTTTCGATCCTCAAAACACTTCTCTGGCACACCCTCCCTAGGCGATCTCAATTCCTCCCCTCCTTTCAAATACCATCTACAGGTATGATCCTCAAATGTACATCTCCAGCTCGGTTCTATTTGGTTTTCTACTGAACATCTTGAACTTCAACTTTGTTCCAGATGTGTTCTTCCTTCGGTCTTCTCCACCTTCTTTCTTTCCATCAAATGCTACAGCCAATCTATCAGGAAATCCTTTTCGATATTCCAGCCAAATGCAGTATCTCAAATCCAGTCCCTCAGCACTGCTGCTACCAGTCCGAGCCACCATAGCCTCCATGCAGGACTACTGCATTAACCTCTTTTCTTGCTTGCACTTCCAACCTCCTACAGACAAGCTTTCACGTAGCAGTCAAAGCAATCCTTTTAGAATATAAGCCATATCATGTCACTCCCTTGCTCAAAACCTTCCAGTAGCTCCCTTCCTATCACACTAAAATCCAAATTCTTTGTCATGGCCAATCAGACCCCCATGGTGTGGTTCCTAGCGGCCTCTCTCGCTCTGTTGCTCTTGAGTACCCCACTGGCTGTCACACAGCTCCTCAAATCAGCCGAGTATACCCCTGCCTGCACATGCCGCTTGCTCTGCCTGGACTGTTCCTACAGCCTCTGGGAATTCACTCTCTCAGTTTGTCAAGGCATCTAGTCGAACAGTGCTCCCCTGGACATCCTATTGAAAATAGTGGCTCCCACCATTTTCTACATTTTTTTCCTTTCTTCTTCTTCATAGTCCTTACGGCCACCAGACAGTGTTTTCCATTTTACTCTTGTCACTATTTCTCTCCTTCACTAAAATGTAAGCTCAATGGGGAGCCAGGTCTTTATCTTCCTTACTCGCTTGTATCATCTATCTCTATCATTGCTATCTAGAACAAGACCTGGTACATGGTAGAACCGCAAATGTTTGTTGAATAAGTACATTATTCTTAAATCCTTTTAGAAGATTGACAGCATCAGATTTATAATTTGAAATAAAGTATAAAATAAAATAGTATAATCTGAAGTGAAATATTCTTTAGGCCACTCAGTCGTGTGTGTGGAATTTTGTCTCATAATTTTTATTTATGAATTACAGTTTTTAAATTTTTATTATTTAAAAGACTTCTAGAACTTATACTTTAAAAATTATTCTAATACATAAAACAATCATTTTTCCTTTTTTGTACTTTGTTTCTTCACTATTCCTAAAAAATACTGGACCAAAGACTTTTTTTCCTTCTTTTTTGATAAAAGTTTCAAATATATATAGTTTACATTTGCATAAATAGCATGAGTCAATGATAAATCTGTTTTTAAAATATTTCATTATAATAAATTTCTCTCTACATTATCAAAAAAAGCACTCAATCCATTAACAATGGAAAAAATAGCTATAAATCTACGTTTTAGATGGAAAGACTGTATTCAGTTAGCCTCCAGATCTGTGAATCCATCACAAAGCTAATTGTTTAATTCTTTTCATTCAAATCGTGCTGTGAATTCACGGCAGGTATACCAAATGACTAAAATGTGAATAGGCCAGTTGCATTTCTAAGAAACTCATCATAAAATGTGCTTGGTGCTCACTAATTAGCAAGGCTTACACCTGATTTTGCTGGACTCGAACTACTAAAAGACAAAAACAAGTTTACAGCAAAAATATAATTGCAATGACTTGATGTCCAAACAGAATAACTCATTCTAACAGCCCAAACCACAAACTAATAAGTATAATTGTCCTTCTCTAAATAGCAGATGGGCAGAAGTGGCTTTGATTCAAATGATTAGAAAGGCGGAAACTTGAGGACTAATGGCTTTAACAGAAATCTCTCTCCAAGGGTTTGTCAACACATCTATCTTAACAGACACCATCCATTTTGCTGTCCAAGTAATTGGTAATGCATTACTTTGTGTTTTTGCACTCACAGTTATTACAGAAAATAGGTACACCTCCATGCCTTTCTTTTTCTCTTGTAAAGGGATACGGTAGATAGAAACTGAATGTAGACAGGAAAAAAAATAACAAAGTTTCAAAACAGTCAAGTTTGAAATTTAAATCATAAAAGCCCAACTTTTCTTCTCGTTTTATATATAATACACAGTTATTTTTTTTAAGATTTTATTTATTTATTTGTCAGAGAGAGAGAGAAAAAGAGAGAGAGAGAAAGCACAAGCAGGGAGAACGGCAGGCAGAGGGAGAAGCAGGCTCCCCCCTGAGCAAGGAGCCTGATGCGGGGCTCGATCCCAGGATGCTGGGATCATGAGCCGAAAGCAGATGCTTAACCGACTAAACCACCCAGGCATCCCTACACAGTACACAGTTATTTTAAAACTACAAATACAAATTGTATCTTTTCTGAATTTAAAAGTTTCCTTTATTTTCCTCTTTCTTTTGAAAAATTACATCATTAACAGCTAATAAATGTAGATGAAACAACAGAATTAGAAATTCACCATCTTGGAAACCACTATGAAATATTTGATTCAGGTAAGATCATCATGGATCTTAAATCCCTAAAATATCACCCCACAGATTATCTCCTAATCACAAATAGGGTCTTTTCTTTATAAATAGAGATGTTTATCGTCATCACCTTAACCAAGTGCTTAAACTCCACAGCATTAATGGTGATAATATGTGTCTTCTGTTGGAATACAATTTAAGTCACAGGATCACCTATAAAGTACTCTTGCCATAAACATTTAACTTGAATCATGCTTCTAGACCAAAATTCAAGTTACAAGAATAAATTAAATGTTACCATAAAGAAACACCTAGGCAAATCCCTGGCCTGTTCTCTTCAGAGTGTCAATGTCATGAAAAACATGGGGGGACTATCTTCTAGGTCAAGGGAAACTAAAAAGTTGTAACTACTAAATTCAGTTGGTGAACCTTGATTAGATCCTGGTTCAAAAAACTATAAAAAACATGGGAAATAATTAGAAAGATTTTAATATGCTGAAGTATTGATGGGTAAGTATAATGGGGTCTATGACTGATTTTCAAATGATTCAGCAAATTAAAAATAACAACATAAATATATATATACATATATATGTAAACACAAACATACATAGACATTCCCAGATACGCTAAAATGTTATCTGTTGATTCTAGGTGGTCAGTTCATGGGTACTCAATATCCTAGTCTTTCAACTTTTCTATATGCTTGAAAAAACTCAAAATAAAAAGTAACAAACTTTTGCATTTAATGTTCAACATGTACAGTACCTGGTTCTTGAATGACATCCACTTTTCCCACACTGATCTGAAGTATTTCACCATTCTTTGCAAATGTCTCCCATTCTGAGTCAGTCTGCTGGCAGGATGGACACCAAGGAGCGTAACTGTAAAAGAAAAATAGCTAGTCAATGTAAACATATGAAAAAAATCTATAAAACAAACTAGAAAAATAGAGCATTTAAATTTAAAAAATAAATTCTTAACTAAAGGGAAAAACAAAAGCAAGCTTTTCCAAAGTTGCTTGATATAGAAAAACAGAAGCAGATTCCCCCCCTCCTAGAATTTAATGTATGACTATCAATTCCCTGGGGAAAAAATAGCTAAAGTTTAAGAAGATTTTCACAAATTATTGTAATATATAAAGTATCTTATTTCAGTGTTATTCTTACAATGGACTCAAATTTTACTACTGTCCAGATAGCTTTTGATTTTTTTTTTTTTACCAGAGTGCCCTTCCTGTACCTGCTGTTTTTTTAAAATAATTTTTTATTGTTATGTTAATCACCATACATTACATCATTAGTTTTTGATGTAGTGTTCCATGATTCATTGTTTGTGCATAACACCCAGTGCTCCACGCAGAATGTGCCCTCTTTAATACCCATCACCAGGCTAACCCATCCCCTCTAGAACCCTCAGTTTGTTTTTCAGAGTCCATTGTCTCTAATGGTTCGTCTCCCCCTCCGACTTACTCCCCTTCATTCTTCCAGATAGCTTTTGATTTTTGAGGGTGGAAAGGCTTTGAGTGTCCCACGAAAGGTGGATGATTTTTACAAGGGTGCCTTTAAACTAGCCAAACTAGGTTCAGATTCATCAAAGTGAGATCTGATGGGTAGAGACCAGAAGATGTATTGCTATTGGGTTCCCCAAAATGCAAGTCATTTCCAAAGATATGTGGCAGGTCTGACCCATTTGAAGAAAGTAGAAGCTATAGGCTAAGCCTGCTCCACAGACACTTAAATAGAAGAGGGGTTAGAAATAAATACTTGGGCCTTCAACCAGAACTCTGCTGTTTTAGATTGTTTTTTTCATTCAATAAACATGATCTAAGCACCATGCTAAAAACTGAGGCTACCCCTGTGAACAAGACAGACATGGTCTTGCTCTCCTTGTTGATTCTATCATCTACAGATGCAAAGAGGTAAGCCCGGGGGGTAATGACAATCCATGTGGCAAATGCCATGACTGGGAATGTGGCACATATGCTATGGGACACTCAGAAGCTGGACGATCTCAGAAGGGCCCACAGAGAAAGGAGCGTCTGTGCTAAGATCTAAAGTAAGAGTAACAGCCAGAGAGGGGTCAAGGAATGTTCTAACCCAAGCAGAGAGAACAGAAAGTGTGAAGACAGAGTATTGACAGGACAGGATAAAAACATCATTCACAGCCTTTAAAAATGTTGTATAAGGAGTTAGGACTTTATTCCAAGCTCCACGACTGATGCCTTAAAAAAAGTAAGAATCATGATCAGATTTACATTTTTGGAAAAGTCATCTGGCAGCTCTGTGGATAATGGATCAGGGAAGGATAAGACGGAAGCAAACTGGAAGGCTGTACTGTCCTCCTGGCAGTATGCTAATGGCCTCACTTTGCCTCCCATGATGCTAGAAAACATCATAAATGGGCCATAAAGCTTTAATGTGCTCCAGGATTTCACATGCAGATGTTAAAATAGGAATCCAGAGAAAACTGCTGTTTAGAAAGTATAGTGGATTGAACAGCATCTCTTAAAGAGTCTTAACCCCTCATACCTGTGCATATGATCTTATTTGGAATAAGGGTCTTTACACATATAATTAAAATAAGGATCTTGATGTGAGATTATCCTGGATTTAGAGTAGGTTCTCATAAAAGAAAGAAGAGCAAAGTGTGACACAGAGACACAGGAGGAAGGCCATGTGAAGATGCAGTCAGAGATGGGTGGTCTGTAGCTACAGGCCAAGGAATGCCAAGAACTGCTGGAAAGGCACGGAACAGACACTCTCCTAGAGCCTCCAGAGAGAGCCAACCTTGCCAACATGGTGATTTTGGAAGTTGGGTCTCCAGAATTGTAAGAGAATAAATTGCCACTGTTTTAAGCTACTAAGTTTGTGGTAATTTGCAGCAGTCCAAGGAAACTAAGGCAGAAAGGAAGATATCATTTGAAATTGGGAGAAATTGAGATCAAATATGCCTTATGGAGACTTAAAGAGTTGGTAGAACTATGCTTAACATATAACAAATACTGTGAACAAACAATAACATACACTGGAAATCGATTTTAAAATACTAACATAGGACACAATTAAAAGGAAAATTAACATTTACACAACGTCACAAAAATACATGAATACAAATGGAGAGACATTCTGTTTTGCTTAATAATACCCAGAAGAAAAAAAGCAGTGAATAAAATTAATCAATGCTCACAAAATAGGGCAGGATACTCCAGGAAAAAAACATCACCAGACACTTTGAATAATATTTCGGGATGCCATCAACTAGACATGATTATTTTAAAGATCTGCTTAAATCTGTTTAAATTATATTTTAACAAAACCCTCAACTCAAGTCAAAATGCTGAGGGAATAAATGCAATAGATACTTTTAAAAGACTTGATATCACTGAATGGTCTATGTACAACGGGTGAATTTTATAGTGTGAAAATTACGCCACCCAGGGGTAGAGGGCAGGAGACATGGATGAACCAAGATTGGCAATATGTTGATACAACTACTGAATCCAGATGATGGATGATGGGAGTTCATTATACTACTATTTTTGTTTATGTTTGAAATTTTCCTAATAGTTTTTTTTTTATTGAGGTATAACTGACATATAACATTACATAAGTTTTAGGTACAACATAATGATCAAATATGTTTTTCTTAAAGATTTGATTAAATGGAAAGATCCAACAAGTTGTGGATGGGCAGGCTCAGCACTGTGAAAATGTTGATTCCCCCCAATTTATTTTCCATTTTTTTTCCATTCCTGAATTATTTTTACAAAATGTGGCATCTATTATTTCTATATTAAGAGAAGAAAGGGGTGGGGAAAAAAAGAGGTAGGAAAGAATGTCTGCCAAAAGAGTAAAACAAACACACACAGGAAAAAATGTCTTAGGAAATAAAGGGGAAAAATGTTAAATGATCGAATTCTATAAAAAGATTTATAGAAAATAGGAGAAGCTCAAAGGTGCTGTCAGGTCATCACTTACGAACCCTTTTATCTTGACCTGAGCAGAAGCACGTGTGTAAGCGCCATGCAACACTCAAGGCAATGATGCATACAAACCAACTTTCCTGAAAGCCAACAATAACAAACATTTCTGAAATAGGGCAATATTTTGATCTTTCACATTATGAAAGGGTATGGGGGGTTAAAAAGTCAACATGATGGGGAGGTTGCATGTACTTCGAGACAAATATTGAGATTGGGCACAGCCCAGGAGAGAAAGGACTACCCAAAGCAAGGCATGCATTTCTCTCTCCAGCCAGGCCCCAGTCAGTAGCAGCCAGACTTAAGCACATTTGTTCATCCTAACGATTGTTCATCCATCTCTAAAAGGGTCTGGTATAGCCAATTCCAAGATAATTCTTAAAAAAGTCATTAATCTTTTCATTACAGCTCACTATCTAATCCCTGAGACACCAGAGATATGGACCAGGAACAATCTGCTGACATCTTTGACCATGGCTGATTTAAACACCTGTATCTCTACATTTCCAGGGCAAAGTATAAACCTGGTACAGTAAGTGCTCAATAAATATGTGCTGAATAAGTAAATGAACAAACTTTAAAGAAAATTATAGTCTTTGAGAAAAGTCATTTTTTATATATTTTAAAAATATCTGTATGGCAGATGATACTGAGACAAGCTGTTGGTAAACTTTAGGGAAAAAGAGAACATTTTATTATTTAGTACTTCAATGGGCATTTCAGTGTATTAGATAAGAGTTCTGCCAAAGAACTCAACCAGACCAACCACAAATTAACCATGTGACTTTGGGCAGGTTAGTAATCGCTCCATGCCTCAGCTTCCTCAACTGCAAAATGGGACAGTAACAGCAGCTACCTTAGAAGGTTATTGGGAGATTAGATGACTTATATAAAGCAGGCACAAATTAAGAACAATACCAATTACATTTGTAATATACTGCTTGGTTTCCAAGACACTTTTATGATGCATTAGAGCTCATCTGAACCTTACAACCTCACTGTCGAACAGACAAGGCAGGTTTAAAGGACCTTGCTTAAGGTCACCTAAGACCACACAGCACAAGAACCCAGATGGAGGTATTCATGTGATAAAACCTCCAAGGAAAGTAAGACCCAACACTGAGAGAGAGAACCACAGAAGGCAGAAATTACCAAAAATAAGGAAGAAAACTTGCAGTACAATTAAACAAATTCTAGATCCTTTTTGCTTTGTTTCCCTAGGCCAGTGCCTTTGCATTTAACTCAAGGACATATTTACTACATCAGTAATTATTAAATCATGCAAATTTCATCTTTTATTTTTTTAAATCCCAGTCCCTAATCTCTAGACAGGCTATTATATAAATTGGGATTTTGGTGACATTGATCTCAAGATATAAAAATGCCACTGAGGTTACTTTAGATATTCCATTGTTTTTATGTAGCTGCCACCCAGTGGAGACTATGAATGCTTTTATTTCTGAGATTTATTCAGAGCTATTTGTGTTGGAGTGCACAAACATCATTCACTAATTTAGGGTGTTCTTTTGGTGGTAGAAATAAGTCAGCTCTGAGTCTCTGGTGTGGGAAATGGTCCACTGTTGTTTCAGTTTTTTAAATTATTAGTATTCTTTTAGACCCAAATGACTGTGATTTAGACAGGAATTTAGAACCTACTAAAGGAAAATACCTTCAGGGGCTAAAGGAATACAAACAAGGAAACTCATGACTTTCATGTACTCATACACACTCTGTCTCTCTCTGTATATGTATGTAGATATAAATAAAATTTTTATGCATGTATGCATGACAAAAATCAGCAGGAAAGACTGAATATGATCTTCATTTATATTATTTAAGACTAGTTCATAATGTCAGTCTTCTAAGAACTATAAAAGAGTTGATCTGCCATAACTTTGTCTT